CTTATTTGTGTGTCAAAATGCCAGTTGGGTAAACTGGACAATACTTTTCAAACAACTGGAGACCAATTCTTCATATGGCTAGAGGGATCAGTGCAGTGGTTACAAGAGTAACTTTAAACCGCGTTATCATTTTCTCCGTTATTTTCCTGTCTATATAAAGAACAAAACAATGCGGTGGTAAAATAAATAAGAAGGGATGGGATCTGAATGTTACCTTTTCTGCTACAATTGTTAAACTGTAGGTTATAGGATGACTGCTATAAGCGGAGAAAGTAGCAGTGGCCATAAGCCAGTGGGTGCAGTCACTGTCATCCATTACATCAGTATGCTCTCAAATAAAGAAAATGAAAAAACAAACAAACAAACAAAAAAAAAAAACTGCAACATATCATGAGTTCTCAGGGTAAAATCTATGAAAGCCCCTTCCTTGTGTTTATTTTCTTCCGGGTTGGGGATAGAATCCAGGGCCTTCCTTGTACACCCCAGCCCTATTGTCTTAACGTGACGGGAAGGGAGACTGGAGGGGACAGTCTGAGCTGTATGTAGGTAGAAGCAGCACACTATGAGGGAATGTCTGGAAACAGAACATCAGAGTGAAGAGACCGAAACAGGACCTAAATCCCTGCCACAGGCTGATCATATAGGCCAAACTAAGTTTTTTCCAAAACTCACCTACTCAGTCTCTCCCTCCCATGTGTATGTGTGTGTGTGTGTGTGTATGTGTGTGTGTGTGTTACACACATGTTGTGTGATGCACTCATTCACGTAGCCCTGAAGTTGACAATGGGACACCATCCTCAATCCTCCACCTTACTCTTTGAAACAGTGTCTTTCACTGAAACTAGGGTTTAATGATTCAGCTGGACTGGCTAGCCGAGGAGCCCTTAGGGTTTGCCTGTCTCCGAGCTATGCCCAGTGCAGCCATATCAGCACACACTGTCATATTTGTCTCTGCTAAGGGCTTGGGAATCTAAACCCAGGTTCTCATGCTTGAACAGCAAATGCTGATCAAATGAGCCATTGTCCTGGCTCCACCACTCGTGTTTCCAATTCCAACATCTAGGACTGGAGAAATGGCTCAGTGGCTAACAGTATATATTATTCTTCTGGAAGACCCATGTTTGAATCCAAGGACCCGTGTCAGGCTGCTTACACTGTAGCTCTCAAGGATCAAACATTTTTAGCATCTGTGGGAACCTGTGCATGCGCACACACACACACACACACACACACACACACACACACACACACACACACACGCACGCACGCACTCACGCACGGGCTCACACAATTAAAAATCACCAAAATAAGTTCTTAAAAAATAATTCCAACATTCTATCATAATGGCCTATATAGACCAATTTGTTGTGCTAAAAATGGAGACTACTAACTCAGTTTAAAACAACCATGCATTATTACCAAAGAAAATTGTACAAAACTGATTATTCCAGTGTACAATTATTTTTTTTCACCCTTTTTCCTGTAGAAAGGCTTCCACCTCAAAGAAAAAAATTCCTCCGTCTCCTGGGACCCTAAAGTGTTACATCTGTACTCTCAAGAGGCAAATGCCTCCCAGAGTCCTTCTTTACAAGATGCACTGGAAGTGGCAGCCACAGCAAGCTACTTCTCAAGGGCGTCCAGCTCTCAGCCCAGTGCTGTGTAGCTTCCCACAGTCTCTGATTTCCCAAAGAAATGCATTTTGAAAAGAAGCACATGGGTGAGCAGCTGGAGGAAACCTGGTAAAGCATCAGAACTTTCCAGGTGCTATGGTCTGAGTCAACAGTAGGCATATTACAAAGTAGGCATAGGAAACCTAAACGTAATTGGGAACAACATTACATGTTTTAATTGGCAGTGATTTTCTTCTTCTGTTTTAATCCACTTGACATATGTACTCAGAAGCCCTGTGATTCTTGCCTCTATACATGTAATTTGGATATCACTGAAAACCTCCTGGACTGGGAGGAGTTACAAAGGGAAGACAAGCTCCCAGGGAATCTCAGTGATGATGCAATTGGAAGGAGGGTGTGTGAATAATAGTCCTGAAGCTTTTCTAGGACTTTAACCTTAGGCAAGTGAAAGCAATGTTTGTGCATGCCTTACTCTGACAAATGTCTCCCCCCTTGCTGGTACAACTGAAAACACAGGGACTGTGAGGAAGGTCACCACTGCCATGTCCTCTCTATCTTGTTGCTGAATTTCTTTTTTTTTTTTTTTTTACAATTTAAATTAGAAACAAGCTTTTTTTTCACATGTCAATCGCAGTTCCCTTTCCCTCCCTTCCTCCCCTATCCCCCACCCACCCCCTACCCCATTCCCTTTTTGCTCCCCAGGGAGGGTGAGGCCTTCCATAGGGAATCTTCAAAGTCTGTCATATCATTTGGAGCAGGGCCTAGGCCCTCCCCCGTGTCTAGGCCGAGAGAGAGTATCCCTCTATGTAGAATGGGCTCCCAACGTTCATTTGTATACTAGGGATAAATACTGATCCACTATAAGAGGTCCCATAGATCGCCCAGGCCTCCTAACTGAGACCCACACTCAGGGGGTCTGGGTGGGTCCTATGCTGGTTTCCCAGCTATCAATCTGGAGTCCATGAGCTCCCCGTTGTTCAGGTCAGCCGTTTCTTTGGGTTTCTCCAGCCTGGTCTTGACCCCTTTGTTCATCACTCCTCCCTTGCTGCAACTGGATTCCAGGAGTTCGGCTCAGTGTTTAGCTGTGGATTTCTGCTTCTGTTTCTAACAGCTACTAGATGAAGGCTCTAAGATGGCATGAAAGTTAGTCATCAATCTCATTATTGGGAAAGGACATTTAAGGTAGCCTCTCCATTATTGCTTAGATTGTTAGTTGGGGTTATCCTTGTAGGTCTCTGGACATTTCTCTAGTGTCAGATTTCTCTTTAAATCTATAATGGCTCCCTCTATTATGGTATCTCTTTTCTGGCTCTCCTCTATTCTTTCCCTGACTCAATCTTCCTGGTCCCTCATGTCCTCCTCTCCCCTCCTCTCCTCCCCTTCTCTTTTTCCTAACTCCCTCCCACCCCCCATGCTCCAAATTTGCTCAGGAGATCTTGTCCCTTTCTCCTTCTCTGGGGGACCATGTATGTGTCTCTTAGGGTCCTCCTTGTTTCCTAGCTTCTCTGGCGATATGGATTGTAGGCTGGTGATCTTTTGCCCCTCCAGACTGGGATGTGGCAATCTGCCCTGTCTTCAGGATTTGGACAGGGACCTGATGATAAGGCCAGAGATGTCTGTGCCTGTGCATACAGATGCACACTTTCTTGGTTTTGTTTCTGTTGCTGTGACAAAAAAAAAAAAAAAAAAAAAAAAAAAAAAACCTGGACAGAAGACAACTTCAGTAAGAAAGGCTTTATTTGGCTTTCAATTCCAGGTCATACTACATTGCTGAATGGAAGCCAAGGCAGGAATCACATCCATGGTCAAGAGCAAAGAGAGACTATACATACCCTTGCTCATTTTTTTTTTAAATGGCTGCCAATTTCATATTTGGCCCTCCAGATGAAGCAACATGAGCTCACTCCCTAGGACAGGGGAGCAAACAGTATAGGCTTGAACTGTGGGTATCACATGGCTTATCTTCACCCCAGTAAGATGGGGGATCTTTCTGATGGCCTTGCTGGGCATTTGGCATAGTATGATCCTTTGCCTCATGGTGTGACATCATAGTTTAGATAAATCTACTTACACCAAGCAAACATGTACCTTAAATGGTGGCCTCTTGAATTATATGCCACAGTATGAGAACAGATTAGAGGAAGAAGCCAAATGCAGCGACTTTATTCTATTCTGTCACATCAAGAGGAGAAAAGAGAATCTATTTTCAAGATCAGCTGAAAACATCAAGGCCCTAATATTACCTTAGGGTTGTTGACAGGCTTAGTTTGAGCATCTTTAGATGGAAAAACCCACTTTTTCTTCATAAGTGATTGTTGATAACTAATTTCAGGCATAATAAAAATAGTAAGAGTCCTATAATAAAGATAAAATAGTAAGGGTCCAAAGAAACACTACACCTGCTCATGGGGTTATGGGAGCAAGCACAAACACTTTGAGGAAGCATCGGGATTAAAGTCGTGTTCTTCTACCATCAATGCTAACTCAGCCCTGATGTGAGGGAGAAGTTAGCAGTGAGTTCACTTGTGAGGCAGACTCCTTCACACAGGTCTGTGGGACAGCATCCTCGTGGCTTCCAGCAATGACACCAGCAGCCTGAACCTTCTCAGCACCCACCAATCTTCGGATCAGTTAAGAGCCAGGTCTGTGCACGCAACAGAACCGGCAGTTCACTGCCAATTACCAGGGCAAATATTTGTACTTCAAAGCTGGCAAGTGGGATAACTCTGAAAGATTCATCAGTTCTAAAAAAGATTTCCATCCTGCCAAACGCTACCCTGGTATGTGAACCTCACTTATCTATGGTGAACATTTGAAGGTAATTCTCATAAATACCTCTCAAGGGCAGTCTGCTCCCAATCCAGTGCCACTGATAGGGTTCCAGACAACTCATTCAAAGTTGGCTTTGCAAATGGAGAGGCGGGGCTTCGTACACTCTAGCAGGGACTTCTGAATTGGCACTTCCTGCACTATCTCCATGCCAATGCATTTTCATCTGAAAAACTGCTGAAGAGCCAAGACTGATGACAAGCAATTTCCCTGAAGGGGGAATAATGGCTGTGAGCACAAGTGCCCAACGACAGGGGCCACTAGCCTTGAGACGTCATGGCAGGCTCTAAACCGATGAAATGGACACAGGGGCATTCCAAAGTACTCATACCTTTGACCTTTCTCTAAAAACTGCCTCCTAATGAAGATAAAGTCAAATTAGAAACAAAAAGGAGACAGTACTCAAATTTGAAGGCATTATCAGTGTAAGAAAAGTCCTGGAGGGAACAGAAAGCATGCTTCCTTGCTGCATTACAAAGCAAACTCTCCATGTTTAGTCATTTTGGATCAGCTTATAGAGACAGCACAAATCAAACACACTAAAGCCACAATGTTTATTAATAGTAAATCCTCAGTATAGAATATCTATGCATCCTCCTAATTACTTCCACTTTATGAACTGTTTTTCTATTTTTTTAAAAAAAAGCTCAAAGAAGTATTGTTTTTGAAGAACAAAGTTTCAGAGAAAGTGATTATTATGAATCCTTTGAGGATCCCAAAGACTTTAAAATCTATTTAAATCCAAATCCAGAGTATCAAGTTCTGTTCTGACACAATTCTTACATTTTTGAGCAACTTTTCATTGCACATCCAAGCAGGGACATGTTAAGGAGGGAAAGGAGGTCGCTATGATAGGATATGGTGAAATTCTTAAAGAATACAAATGTGTGAATGAATATAAATGAGTGTGTGTGAGTGTGTGTGTGTGTGTGTGTGTGTGTGTGTGTGTGTGTGTATTATCCACAGGAAAGGGCTGGAATAAAATGATAATTATTACATTAGAATGGTTATTTCTCTTCTCTGTGTTTTACAAATGGCCTATTCTATGACTACATCATTTCATAACAAAAACTTATTAATGAAGAAAAATTCAAGGTTATGAGACATGTCAACTTAATAAAATAATTTTCAAACAAGTGAGCAGAGAACAGAGGCACTCAACGAAGAGCAGGAGGCTCCTTGGTCCTAGGGAGACCAAATCCATCAGCAGCATTTCCTGGTGGCACTGTCCTTGGAAATAGAGAGCAGACAGAGCTTCCCTGAGGCACCATGGGCTCAAACTAAGGCATATCCAGGACTGAATTTCCTGGCCTATGTTTACTGGCCTATGTGCTTGGGGAAATCTCAGAGCACTTTTGAAACGTGAACTTGTTTCAATTTCAAGGGAGGAAAATGAGACTCTCCCACAGACACCACAACAACCAATGACTGGTGGCCGTGCTGAAAATAGAGGCAACTATAGGTGATCACGCCAACTCACCAGCATCCCGGTAGCCACGGCCTTAGGGAAAGACTAGGTAACATAATATCTACATGCCCTGCAAGGGATCAGACTAGGAGCCTCAGGCATGGTAGGCCAGCACACAATCACTAAGCTGTGCCCTCAGCCCAATTCTTTTACATATTATATTTCATAAATTAAGTATATCCACCTAAACTGCATCCATGAGGCTGTAGACATCTCACTCACTACTGGTAGCACATAGAGGGGACTCGAAATACAATTTTAGGAGGCTGTTGGGGGCAGTAAGTGCAGAATCACTCCTGGAATTTCACAGTACATACTCGACACAAGTAAATTGATCTCAGAAAGGGCTATGAGTATTCACTGTACGTGTGTATGAAAATAGAAACCTCAGTAAGAATTTCAGAGTCTGTTCCCCGAGAAACACAATTTTTTTGTGTCTGTAATGCTAGCTAGCATTCAGAAAATGGGAGCAGGAGGCCCATGGAGGCCAGCGTGGACTACAAAAGGAAGCACAAAATAAAGTAAAACAAAATAAAGGCAAGAAAGAAATCATGATCTGTGTCCACAGGCTGCATACAGGCTATGTGGCTTCCATCCTCATTGATGGTGTCTGGAGGTTGTGCATCTGTGAATCCCACGGGTCCTCAGGCAGGGTCACAGCTGCTGGCTGGTGAAGAAGGATTTAGTCTCCCTGCAGACAGGATTTACACAGAGTGGACAGCTCAGAGTCAACTGCGTGGAGCACAGCTTGTTTGACTGGATGTGAGAGTATACCAAATCAGCCAAGGCCTGCAAGACAGAGCACAGAGCCATCTGAGACGAGAGGTCTGCTGGCCCTGTGTGCAGTGCATGCCCTCCACTCATCCCTAGGAAAACTGCTCTGGCTGCAGTTTCTTTTCAAAACAAAGTCCTTTCTAGAGTCATCAGCTTAGGCAGAGTTAAAACAGAGACTTTAGCAAATGGGTCTTCATACCCCACCCACTGTACCTTCTCATTGAAAAGCAGAGTTAAAACAAGGCAGCTATGGGTGGGCAAGATTAGGAGACTGGGGTTACCTAAAGGAAAAAGGAGGAGCAGAGAAGGAATTCGCTCCTAGTTTTGTAATTAATTGGAACTCCAAATGTACTAATATGTGAGAAAAGCAATATTCTGCAAGAGCTTCTCAGAGGGACCACTCTGCGCTATGTTCTACTAAAACAGTTGTAACACGGCGGTACCTTAGAGAACAATGGATTTCCATTAAGAGACTCCGCTCTTCTGATGTTTTCAGCTCCACACTGAATCAAATGAGAATGGGGAGAAAAAGACACATTTTATTCTCCTTTCACTTCCTTCTTCTTCTTCTTTTTTTTAAAGACACCGAGTGCTACAAAAGATAAACGTGCAGAAGTGCACTCACACAACTCTGCCTGACCTTGAATGGCCGCAGACTGCTCATGAATGTTGGTCATGAGGTAGACGGGCAGGCTGACCAGATTACCAGAGACTGCCCTTCTGTGCCTTTGTGACCTCCACCCACCTCCTTGCACAAGCGCAGTTATACTGGATAGAACTCTCAAGAGTGACTGACCCAAGTGCACACACCATCTTGTTCTTAGTCTACTTCTCTAAGGCAAACCTTACAGACTCAATCTAAGTAAATGTTGCTATAATTAAGTAAAACTTCCTATTTGCTTTGATCCCAAGTAAGTGCCAAAATGAGGGAAATTAATATACGAACCCTATGTCATATTGAGTCTAGACTGAATTCAATGTAGAACTGGGTTTTAAAATAAACTCTTATAGAGGAAGAGCTAAGAAAAAAAATCTGAGTATTGTTTAGCGCCATTCTTTCCCCTGCTTAAAAAACAAAACAAACAACAATAACTGCAACAAAAACCCAACAACAGATACAGCTAATTGTTCTGAGATAATAGGGAGCTGTGTATGATTTACTCCACAGCTAGCATCTTTTCTTTCCTGCCCATGCTGAGATATGGGCAGCTGCTTTATCTTTTACATTGGCATTTAAAGGAGGGCCCACATGGGAAGCACAATGGTTTCAGTGAACACCTAGACCTCAACATGGAGGAGGTTCTACTTAAAAAAAAAAAAAAAACACCCATGACAGCCAAATAAGCAGTATTAGTGATCAGGGCGGGGGTGGGGTGGGCTAGGAAGATGCAACAGCAATGAATCTGTCCGCAGAACATTACTGGAAAACTGGAAGCATTTATAGTCACAGAATATGATAGTGAAAATTTAAAAAAAAAAAAAAACCTCAAATGACTACTAATCAATGAAAATGGCTACAGGCATTTAATTATATTTACTTATATCCAAAAGAAAAGAAAATGGGGGTTAAAAATATGGATAAAATATCATTTTGTTAAACGTGGAAAAGCCTTAAGTGTTAGTTAGGGTCAGAGTATGAGTGAGCCCCACTCTTAACACAGCACCATCTGAGAACTTACTATTTTTATCAGCAAAAGGGAAAAAAGTAATTTCTATTGTGGCAAAAAATTACACGTTTAAAGTCAGTTGTTTTGTGTGTGCTATATTTTCATATCAAAATAATGATAACTACATAGTTTTCTTTATTCCCTGCAGGGATTAACTTGCCAATTGCTAATAATCCTCTTGGTTACTAACTGTTTACAGTCTCTGCTTGTAATAAAATGAATAGGAAAAAACATGTTCAAACACCCTGTACTAATTAAGGCTTATTTTCACTGAAGTCTTCTAGAATGTTTAAAAGTAGCCAGTCATGGTGGGGATACAGAGACATCAATAAATGAAACCCATGGGCAACAATGAAACCTCATCTTTGCAAATTACACCTTGCTCATAAACTACTAGTGATTAGAAAATATAGGCTTTCCTTCATTCATCAGTGTTAGACTGATGACTGGCATAGACTCACAAGTAACTCACAAGTTGACAGCTGGTCCAGTTCTGCCCCTACTCACCCTCCACCCTACCCCTCACTGACAGCCAGTCCCAGGAAAGGTGTGGTGTTCTCTGGAGCCAGATTTGCATCAGTCACTCATGGGAAGGCCACGAGGTCTCACCCAAGATTAGAGGGAGAAAATGGCTTCCTGAGTCCCCATGCTTTCAACTGCCCACAGAAACACAGCAATAAGCCATGAAGGTTTCAGGCTAGCCCTCAGAAGCCACAAGATAGGTAAGCAAGAGTTTTTCCCCACTGTGAGTGACACACCACATCCATCTTATGCCAACAGTGGTATTTGTTATTTCAATAGTCAGATTGATCACAACTTGTTAGCAAACAGCTAATTAAGTGAGTGCATAGAAGAGGTCAGGAGAATCACAGCACACACTGCTTCTGTGTTTGTTCATGCTCCTCTCTGAAATGTCAAAGACTCATACACCACCAAACCCAACCAGAAACGACATAACAGCCTGAGAACTACCGCTGCAGCAAGTGCAGGCCAGGGATTATAGACTAATAAACAATTCCCCTCAGATTTGGTGACATGTACAATTCCTTTACTAAAGATTTCACATTCACACGATACAGTAACACACAAACAAAGTTATTAGTTCCAGTGACAATGGGTAACATGGTTTAATAAAGGTGCAAACTTGCTCTTCTAACTATTGATGTAGAATTAACTTATGAAGTATTATTCAAAATGATCAGGACCTAGTACATACAAATACACCAAAAGCTTCCTCTTCCTTCCTTCCTTCCTCCCTTCCTTCCTCCTTCTTTCCTTCATTCTTCCTTCCTTCCTTTCTTTTCTTCTCTCTCTCTCTCTCTCTCTCTCTATATATATATATATATATATATATATATGTGTGTGTGTGTGTGTGTGTGTATATATATATATATACACATATACATACATGTATGTATGTATGTAGGTATAAATTTCTTTCCTCATTTGCTTTTGTGAGACAGGGTCTGGCTGGCCTGGAACTCACTAAGTAGAAGACTGGCCTTGAACTCACAGAGATCTATTTGTTTGCCTCTGTCTTCCAGTGCTAGGATTGAAGTAGTGTTCCACCACACCTAGCCCCACAAACAGTAATTTTTTTCAATAGTATAGTTTCATAGTTGTAGAAAAATTTCCTGTTAAAATCAATCATGATGGGACTAAGAAGCCATATGGGTACGCTTACCTTCTTGGCTAACACTTGGGAGTATTCAATATCCAGTTCATATAGTGTCTCAATGTGATCACTGGTAAATGCTATTGGAACCAAAAGGATATTCTTCCTCCCCCTCTCACAAAGCCCTTTGATAGCCTCATCTGTTTGAGGACCCAACCAGGGTACTGGGCCAACCTATAAGAAAGAAGACCAATACAGAGATGGAACACTTCTCCTGACACGTCATTAACATGTTATCACCACACCTCCACCCCCAACACACATGGAACACACATATCTGCCCACCCAGGTGAGAGCTCCTCTCACACTTCCTTGAATGGTTTTGGATATTTCACATTAAACCTTGAATTCTTCTAGAGGCTGGCCCAATGATACAAATAAGTGGTTTCTTCCATTAAAACTAAAAGTCAGATATTAAGGGTGGACAGAACTCTACCAGTCACTCAATTTCCCTTTCTATCTTCTTGTTTTTTGTAGAGTTCTTTTGGCCCACAGTGAGCAGCTGACTTACAGAGCAGCATGCTGGCATGGAAAAGCCCAAATTCCCATTTGTAAATAAATGATAAGGCATATTTTGAAGAGACAATGGTCTGAAAATGTATGAGAAGTACCTACCTTGGACTGCCAAACTAGTCGGTAGGGGTTGGGGTAACCTAGCTCTTCCATGACTTTGTGGACAGTGGCACCTACTTCCTGGGGATAGGGATCTCCTCTGTTGACAACCTGCAAAATTCAGCAACCAACTCTGTGAAGGGAGCCAAGATCACTGACTATGCAGTGACAAGAGGAACATGAGCCACACCCCTCCCTTGCTGTCCCCTGAACTAATGACAATTGTATCTGAGCACTGTTAGGAAAAGTTCCTTGGTTCCAATCATTCACTGGCCAAAGAACACTATATTCAGTCAGCTACAAGATCCCAAAGAAGATGCTGTTTGTGGAAGGTGGACAAGGTCTACCCATGTGGACGGTTCTCTTTCCCTCCAGAGCGGACAGAGTGCAGAATGGCTGAGCTGATGGCAAACACTTAGAAGGAAGCAGTTCCTGGTTCAGATCACAAACTCCTCCATATATGATCTATGCCCTCTACTCGATCTCTCTCCACCCTTCTCTAACAACTGACAGCAGACAAATGATTTGTGAACAATGAGGCATGTGCTCCTAACAAGAAAGCCTATTAAAAACCTTTGAAGACATTCGGCATATATTTTATTTTCATTGTTTTCATCTTTTGTGGTGTACTGACTCCTTAACTCCATCCCCCTGCTTTATGGTGTTCATTACCTCCTGATCCACCATGCTATTTCCCTTCATGTTTATTAATTATTTGTTCCTGTTAATGAACAGGAACAAAGGTGTTGTCTATTTACTTCTTCCCCACTTATCTGATGTGGATAAGAGATACCCAAAAATACTGTATTATTGAAATGAAATACAAAGAAAATATATTATGGCATTACTAGTGGCCAAGTAATCATTAGAAACATAAATGTAGATGGGAAGAAAGAAATATAAAGTTGGCTTGGCACCATATAACAAAAAGTGCTACAGGTAGGATGAGCTCTAAGGCAACTCCTATGATGTTCCAGTGTAAATATTCCTCCACCGCTGCCTCCCTCCCCCGGGAGCTTCACTCTGGTACCTCAGGTCTCATCACACCTAGAATGGATCCTTGCAAGGATTTGTGTGGCACTTTCTAGTGTGATCCCACTGAAATGAAACAGACAGGCTTCCAAAGAGATATTTATCTCTACAGCCATCTATTACTAATGTAATGGCTGTCTCTTGCAGGTGAGTGGTACAGGGCTTGACTCCAGTGACCATCAAAGCACAACATGGTATCCTCCACCTGAGGTTGCTTGGTTTCATTAATCATGTGGTTCAGACCAATCCCATGTAAGAAAATGTAGTCTTCCACCTCTATGGCTTGGGAAACGGTATTCTTGGGACAGGATTCTAGTTCTAAGCAGATAAAACTGGGTACAATGTCTAAGATCTTTCAAATATCATACAGCACACTGTCATGGTATTGCCACGTTTCCTGAAATAAACACCCGTGGCACAGGAGGTGACATTTCAACGAACCACCGGGTATGATATGATGAACTAAGGGTCACAAACTGTGTGCTATATATTCAGTGGTCCCTAGTTTTAGCAAATTTGAAACCATATTGGCTTCCTAGAATGCACAGGCTTCTGCTAAATCTTGAAGACAGCATCAGGCCCAGTGTGAATAGAACTTGATTGGAACTGGCTGCAGAGTTCATTATAAGGAAACTGCGCAGTATACTCTTCCATACAGCAGGCAAAAGCATACTTCTTCAGCTGGTACACTTGTCAGAAATGCTTATATCTGGATGAATCTTCCAGTTATCATTTTAAATAAAGCTACTAATGAGAGGTCTATTTGTAATATTGGGCACTTAATTAGTTTCTGGGAGGTTTCAGAAAGCGAGTCTATGAGCAAGCGAAGGGTGGGATTTTAGAATTCATTCTTGCACCATGCTGAGGACAGCGAGGAGCCAGGCCTGTTTTACACATTTCAAAAGTGAAAACCTAATCCTTTATCAGTAGGTCACCCAACAAAAAACGTTCTTACTTACGGACATTGGCAGGGAGTGGGCAGAAAACAGAATGACCACCTCACGTCTCTTCTCCTGGGGAAAATGGTCCAGTTCTTTCAGAATGTGGTCTGCAAAGCACTGTGGGAACCCCAAGAATGGGGAGAAAGAGGGTAGTGAGAATAGAGCAAAGAAGGGGAGAAGGGATCTCAGAAATTAGAGCTGTACCAAAAATTTCTGAGTAATCTTCCAAATCTGGAAGTACGGCCTCTCTGATGTGGTTCAGCTTCAGAGTGGACGGCAATGGTTTCGGGGCCTAGGGAATTTGATGGGAAACTTCTAAAGCTCACTAATGGCTCTCTGCAAATGAACACCGAGGAGGATCTGCTTCCCCTCGGGAAGAGCAGGGCACACTTCCAGATGGAAAGGAAACACAGATGGGAAGGAGAAGTTGTTTTAAGACCTCACATTTGCTCTGTTAGCAGGAAAACAGCTTACAGGGTCTTTCTAAATCTTCCTTACTTTGGCTCTAAGGCATAGAGCACATTAAAATACATTAGCCCGAAATAGGAGAGAAATAAGAAAATACTCATCTATTTTTATGACATCACTTTTATAAGGCCAGGATCTGCACCAAAGCAATCCTCCTCACAAGCTTCATGATGACAGATGACAGCTGAACAACTCCCATTAAACACGCAGAGGGGGAAAAGATGTGTCGATATGAGCATTGGCTAGCCATATGTGTGGGTGTGGACTAGAACTCAGGTCCTTATGCCTTCAGACCTCTGTCCACCAGACCTACCCCCTCTCTCATCTACTTGCTGATTCTCATGGGTAGGTGCTGAAACACCAGATCTGAAGCGACGCTCTTTCATCTTACACTTGAATCATTCCTGGCCATTTGGCTTAGAAGGAAAATGTAGCAAAAGACACAAGTTGGTCAACTGATAACACTGGAATGTGCCTGGAAATTAATTAGACAGGAGTTGATTGTCAGTGTTAAAATAAACTGCTGTAGAATTTTGTATTGAAGTTATCTTAAGAGAAAAGCCCTGATTTTAAGGTAGGCATGTGTGTGTGTGTTTGTGTGTGCGCGCACACGTGCGCACTTGCATTATCTGCTGTCAGTTTAGAAAAAAAATATATGCACATATACATATATACACATACAGAGAATGTGCAAATGATAGGTCAAGTGAAACAAATGTTAACACATGAATACCTGTGAAGAATAGATGACAGTTCCCTACACCATTTTTAAGATTTTATTTATTTTGTGTGTATGGGTGTTGCATCTGCATGTACATCTGGGCACTCCATGCATACTTGGTGCATATAGAAGCCAGAGGAGGCCCTGGGACTGGAATTAGTGATGACTGTGAGCTGCCATGTACGTGCAGGAACTCAAACTGTGTGTCCTCTGCAAGAGCAGCCAGTGCTGTCAACCACTGAGCCATCTCTCCCGCCCTTGTTTTATTTTTAATACACATATTTGTATATGGGGATGGTGGCAATGTGCATGTGAGTGAAGGTGCCCGCAGAACCCAGAAGAGAGTGTCAGATGCCCTGGAGCTGGGACAGCAGCAGTTGCAAGTCACCTGAGGTGGTTGCTGGGAACTGACCTGGAGTAGTGGTATATGTTCTCAACCAATGGACCTTCTCTCCAGTCACATTATCCTTTTAACTATTAATCTTGGAACTATTTTGCATATACAAATAACACTCAAAGAATAACAGAATCATATCAACTTGTAGTCTATTGATATACATCAATATTCAGTCAATACTGAATATTGCAACTAGTCCCCAAGAATACTAAGATATTTCTCATTTCAGAACTCACACATTTTGGTAAGCAAATGCCCTATTGAACAAAATGGTACCTATAGATGGTATCTAGAATTTTGTTCACCTCTCCCCCTTCCCTCTCCCACCTCCATGTTGTAAACTTAGGAAGCAAGGCCTCTCAGAAGGATCATTTTTAAATCACAGCCTACACAAGGAAGCCACTGGAAAGTTTACGTAGGAGCTCGGAACACACATTTACTGCAACTACTCCAACAGCTGGATAAACAGCAGTATTAGAGAAGTGGCAATAATATGACTATCTTGAGTAGCTAGTACTGATAACATGCAAGAAGTGTGGATTTAAGAGCACATTTTTAGTTGTGTTTAGGCTAGATTTTTAGGGGGTTGCCCCCTTCTTTTCCTTTCCTCAACTTGTAAAATTGCAAGTAAAAATACATTTCCTTAGGGCTTGCAAGAGTCACTAAGCCATCTTCAGAACTTAAGCAGCATGGGCAAATAGAAGTGCTACTTAAGTTACCTAAACCCATCTGCAAGATTTTCTGTGCACAGTCCCTGTGCAAAATGAAAGCAGCAAGGCCTCTCAGAGCCTTCAATCACACCATCCAGGAGGGCAGATAAATGCCTCTAAAATTCCCTTTCATTTTATGAACAGAGACTTCCTCAGTTAAGAGACCTTTCCATCTTTCTGCTTCCCCCCTTTCAAAGGGCTGAATTTTAATGCAAATCTAATTACTCCCTCGATCAGGGCAGGCAGATGCTGTGCAGACCTCTCTTCCTGAGCCACATGTCAGGGCAGACCTGAAAATACCCCTCCTTCCCAGCCAGAGCAGCAGTTGGGGCCTTAGGCACTCCAGCTACCCCTAGAAGGACACAGGAGAATGATGACCACTGGACACACACACACACACACACACACACACACACACACACACACACACACACACACACCACACACAGAGCCCACAGCGACACCCACCCCTAGGGGACCTCTTTCCAGTTTTTACTCTAACACACATATTAACCCTTTCCCTGCCCACAGGACATTGCTCTTGGGAAAGCCAGCCTGATTTTAATGCCGCCTAGCACCATCTAGTGGTCACAGGTTTGAGTGTAGCCAATCTTATGTATTTTGCCAGAAATCACAGTATGATCAATGAATAAAAAAAATCAAACGATAGTCCAAACTATTTCATATATTTGAACTAAAATAACTCAAAAGCAGAAACTTCTGCATACTAAAAAAAATCTTTCTTAATGACTCAGGACTTTTTTTAAAAACAAACCTCATGTTCAAGGTTTTTAAAAAAAGAACAAAATAACACCTATTCAAAGCTATTGGCTTTAGAGCTGTAATTTTAACCAATTCCTCTAAAATAAAATACCCATTGGTAGAATATTACAAAGGTAAGTGTACAGGAGAAATGAGAATTTTCCTTTGATCTATGAAAGTTTCCCCACTGAAATGTTGTTTACTTTCATGTGTCCGAATATGTATCTATACTATCTTTACTGGGGTTTTTTGTTGTTATTGTTGTTGTTGTTTGTTTGTTTGTTCAAGGCAGGATTTCTCTGTGTAATCTTGGATGTCCCAGAACTCACTTTGCAGACAAAGCTTGCCTCAAATTCAGAGATCCGCCTGCCTCTGCCTCCCTAGTTTTGGGATTGAAGCGTAAGCCACCACCAATTGGCCTATATTTAATTTTTAATCCTTTGGTGTTTTAAAGGATTTAGAAAATGGAGGCTTTAATTTATTTGTTGGTCATTCAATCTAGTTAAGGGAAGTTAAGGGAAATACTGTGTATTGATAAAATAATGTTCTTCTGGTCACTGAAAAATACAAAACTCAAAATCTAACTCTGGTAGTAATGTATAATCTGCAGAAAGAAGAGTGTGACCATCTTAACCTTAAGTTTATCCCAACATGAAATGCAAGCGAGAGACCATCTCAAATCGAGCAGAGATGACTTTGCACTAGATGCTGTGATCACAGACAGAAGCTGCTGGCAGCCATACACACCTGGATGAGCAGGGGATGCGTGGGCCACCTGTCAATTGTGCTCCACTTCATGGTGGGCTTCCGTCCCATCTCATTATAGTATCTGTAAATGGCATTTAAGCTGCTGCCTAAAATACAAGGGAGCCATTTAGTAGACACACTTGATTGTGGTGAAAATACAACACAAACGAGTAAGGGCAATAATTGTAAGTTCAAAGTAGGCAGCTGTGTCTATACAGAAACCCCGTCTAATTACGATCTTTTCAATACTCTAAAATGCATATAGATTTAACTACCCTGCAAATGAAGATCACTAAAGAGCAATCAATTTCAACAGACCTTCAAAGATTATTGAGGCCATTTCTACTGAGAGACATGAGGGCTGCAAGTTTATGATATATAAGCTATTGTGAATTTGCAGGGAACAAGACTTAAAATTGAGAGCATGTGAAGAAAAGCATTCCCATTATGACCAGAATCAGCCCCATTACAGGCAGTGTAGGGGGTGAGAGAGAAAGACAGAAGTGGGCTGTTATCCCAGCATGCTGCTGTTGCTTTTTGTCATTCTTGTAGAGCTGCTTTCTGGTATTTCCCTTTATAGCCATTTCACTTTACAAAGTCTTCTCGTTAGAATATGCACAGTTCCATATCTAGAGCATTTTGGATATTTTCAGTCAATATTACAAATTAAATATTTCTCAGGTTCAAACGGAAGTTTTGGTGTAGTCATAGGGTGCAGTCATAGGGCAAGAAGCCTTTCAAGGGGTCTAAAAGCCAGTACTTAATAATTTTTTACAAACTGTACCATTCCCTGGAAGAAAGGAAGCAAACACTGACCTCTGGCAGGTAACCAAACAAGGGCTGTGTTTCTAAGTAAAAGGTGATTATCATGACACTGGGAAGCTGACACTGGGGTCAAATCCTAATGCCTATAAAACCAACCCTAAAGGGGCCTCTTCCTCAGTCTCACACAAAGCAAGCTCCGACATGTCTATGTCCTACCTATCACCAGCTTCCTGGGTTCCTTACCATAGGAATCATAGCTAACTTGTCAGTTTATAAGGCTTACTCAGGACAGAGCCATAGTATAACTCAAATTGTTTGCCCAGGCTAAGATTCAACTTTCATTAAAAAGAAAAATCAATGGACTCAATTTCAATGGGTAGAAACAGTGATGTAAGAGAATCTAAATTTGAGGGACAAAAATAATCTCCATAGAAATCAAAGTATCCCATCATATTCACACTGAAGATCTCACTGCACATTTGGGCATCCTTTTATGATGTATAAAATGGCTTCTGGGAGTCACATTAGTTTCCTCAAGTCACTGGACAACAGTCAATATCCTACTGGAAGAAGTAATTAAGAAGGAAGAAATATAAGTCTGAAAGATGTTGTGAGAGATACACAGAACACACAGTCCGTCTTTAAAAGACACAGTAGCAAAAGGAGACTATTGGCCTCAAAGAATAAATGTGTCTCCTAAAACATCTATAACTCAGAAATACAGATGCTTGGTCCTTATACATGAGATGTGCTAGAGAAAAGTCGTGTGTGCCCTGAGCCCTGCCCACACAGCAAGAACCATCTGTGAGGTAGAGTGCATCTGTTGCCACACAAAAACAACTGTAACTTCTGTGCTTTGGAGAGCAGATGTCTGTAAGCTGAAGGACATTTTGCAAAGCAAACTATATCTTGAAAATTCTGAGATCTGCCTCATTCCCCAATAATACACTACCAGGTATTTTTAAAAGTATAGATTCCCACAGTAAATCACAATTCAAATTTCTGAGTATATGTAAAAGATTGGGCATTTCAACAGATGCTTGACCTCTCTCTCTCTCTCTCTCTCTCTCTCTCTCTCTCTCTCTCTCTCTCCACACACACACACACACACACACACACACACACACACACACAAATATCTGTGTGCCTCAGTATTTAAGGCACATAACACTTGGAATGTTTCCTCCATAGCTTTTTGTTCAAAGGAAAACTGGGAATACAAACACACTGACCTAAATCCTTGAGAGAATGCAAACATATCTGTAGGTAATAATAAAGCTTTACCTATAATTAAGAATAATAGGGCATGGTGGTACATACCTTTGATCTCGGCACTCAGGAGGCAGATTTCTGTGAGTTCAAGGCCAGCCTAGTCTACCTAGTGAGACCTGGCTCAAAAAAAAAGCAAAAGGCAAAAAAAAAAAAAAAAAAAAAAAAAAAAAAGAATATATGCTTTCCTAAGCTTATGTTTCTTCTTCAGTCAAATACATAGAGAACAGCAAGGAGTAATGCATTAAAAAAAAACAAAGAACACAGAAAAGTTTGTAATATGTTAATTTGAGCCCTCACATTTGGTTTTTGTTGTTTTGTTTTGGTTTGTTTGTTTGTTTTTGAGATAGACTCTTACAATGTAACCTTAGCTGGCTTGAAACTCACTCTATGGATCAGGCTGGTCTCAAATACAAAGAGATCAGTCTGCCTCTGCCTGGAATTAGAGGTGTGAGCCATCACACCTGGACAAGATAGATTTTAAGTTAATAGTTAAGTAACTAACCTATAATGAAGACATACACAAAAAATAAAAATAGCAGCATTTTCCATATGAATACTTTTGCTTTCAAAATGGAATCAGTTTATTCTTTTAATAATAGTTTCATTATAGTTAGACATAAAAATAGTAATATTAGGATACAAACCTAGAAAGTGATGAAGGTTCCTTGCTGATTTTTTAACCAACTGTATTAAAGTAGCAAGCAAGTACACCACCCGCCATTTGTAATTCCCAGATGACAGGCCAATAACTCCGGAAGCTCATGAAGCATGGGATTTTAAAATGACTGACCTGAACTCTTAAGTGTCAAGAAGACACTGGACCAGATCTGCCATTCATATTGCAAATTCCTTCAACACTCTGTCTCCTGGGCTAACTGTGCCAGGGTTATAGCCACCTTTGAGATGTTCTTACCAGTGGTGGAGCAGCTATACTGTGGATACTGTGTGAAAGCAATGGCCCTTTCCAGGCCATCTCTCTCCATCTCTTCAATTGCTTCTTCTGTCAAAGGATGGACGTACCGGAATCCGATATAGTATTTGTGAGGTGCTATTAGGAAGCACAAGAGGGAAGGAGATGGTATTAATCTTTATATAGATTCCTCAGAGTCACCAAACATAATGTAATGGCCAGAATAATGAACACTAACCCAATTTTCTACAGTGCTGACATGGTGAGCAAGCTAGGCTATTGCTGGCATCGTGTCTGTCTTTTCAGCAGACACAGGGACACTTGGTTATTCTCCAAAATTAAAAGTCCTATTTGCTTACCTTTTATTATATGATCATCTTTAAAATGCAAGATTTTAATATTAATCATCTGTTCTCATCGAGCATAAAAAGACTGAAGAAAAGGGAAGGGGAAAAAGACCCCAAAGCTGGGCTGTGGTGGCACACACCTTTAATCCCAGCATCTGGAAGGAGGCAGAGGCAGGAAGACCTCTGTGAGTTCACGGTCAGCCTGCTAAGTTTTTCTGCCATATTTAAAGAGAAGCACTGTGGCTTGTGTGGATGAACTGCACATGAAAAGCCCTTGAGCCCAGCAATGCAAACCTGAAGGTCAGGAGCACAGTTGAACAATTTGCTAAGTGAGATGGTCTCCTGAGAGAGTAGGCCCCTTGGTGCAAAGGGGCTGAGGAGATTGCAGGCTGAAGTTCAGTGAGGCTTTCTCAGAGATAACTCTTACGGTCCTGCCTAGGCTGCTCTCTTTGAGGGCCCCAGGAGCACATGGAATGCATTTACAACAAACACATTTTCATATATCGTAACTTGAACTTTTCCAGTTTTAACGTTTCTCATTATGACATTTGATGTTGTCACATTGACACAGACTAGAGTCTTCTGGGAAGAGGGAGCTTTACTGGAGGAATTGCCTGCGTCAGATTGCTTTGTGGGAGTGTCTGTGGGATGCGTTCTTGACTGATGATTAATGTGGGAGGACCAAGCTCACTATTGGCAGAGTCACCCCTGGGCAGGAGGTCCTGAACAGTATAAGAGAGCAGGCTGAGTTGGGTGTTGGTGGCACATACCTTTAGTCCCAGCACTTGGGAGGCAGAGGCAGGCAGATCTCAGTGAGTTTGAGGCCAGCCTGGTCTACACAATGAGTTCCAGAACAGCCAGGACTGTTGCATAGAAAAACCTTGTCTAAAAAAAAAAAAAAAAAAAAAAAAAAAAAAAAAGAGGAATAAAAGGAAAGGAAAGAAGGAATGAAGGAAGAGGAGAGGAGAGGAAAAGGAAAGGAAAGAATTCAATTCTTGCTTGAATTCTTGCCTTTGCCTCCCTCAGTGATGGACTGTTACAAAGAAATATAAAAAGAAATAAAGCATTCCCTCCTCAAGTTGCTTCTGGTCAGTATGGTATCACAGTGACAGAAAGCAAAGTAGGACACTCATTCTGACTCACGCTGTATTAGTATATGGAATTATGTGTTCTACAATCAAGTGTACCTTGGATGGGAATAAATGTAGCACCTGTAGCTCATTCCTGCATTTAGTGTCTCAGTCTATGTAGAACCAATATAGTCAGGCTGAATATTGCTCGGTGGCTTATACTTAGAGCTACAGCTAGCCACTTCTCTAAATGCTCATCTAATTACTCTCCAACTAGAATACAGGGACACTGCAACAGCCTTACCCATCTTCTGTGTATGGTATATTACTTCTTTGTAATCTAGCTCAATTTAGCTTTAAACTTCCTTTTGAAACACTTTCCAACTTTTCAGTTTATTTGTGACATTGGAAGTAATTTTTACACGGTCTACAGTCAGAGGACAATGACTTGAGAACTCAGGCAAGTGACCATGTATTATATATTATAGAAAATCACAAATCAATAGTTGCTAGCATTTGGACCAGGGGAACGGATAGAAAAAGTGCTTGCAGTATACACATGAAGACTGGAGTTCAAAGCCCCAGTAACCACATAAAAAGCTGGGTAAGTCAGGTAGCCACCTGTAATCCCAGCACATAGGAGGCAGAGGTAAGAGATCCTGGGCCAAGATGGCTAGCTTAGACTCATTGGATTGATGAACTCTGGATTAAACTGAAGACCCTGCCTCAGTATATAAAGTGAAAACAATCAAGGAAGATCCCAAACATACTAACTCTGGGCCTCCACATGCACACACATGTGCTTCCACAGTTGCAAACAATCATACATACAACATATCTCACACACACACACACACACACACACACACACTTTGCCAATGTGATGAATAATCTTACCTTTCCCACCTCCGTGCTGGGATAATAGGAGTGCACAACCATGCCTGACTCTTAATTTGTACTTTAACAACCCTAGCACTGTAGTAATGAGAACACACACCTGTGTCAGGGGACAGTTCATCCAGCAACTTCACCATGCCTTCTCCTTGCTTGGAAGTCCACATCTTGATGGGGGATCCACCTCCAATCCTACGATACTGCTCTTGGATTTTGGGGGTTCGGCGTTTGGCGATGAATGGTGCCAGCTTACTAAATCATTGAACATATAATCAAGTAGATTTTATTCCACCTTTGTAATCGGAGATATATCTTCTACTCAGTAGAGATGAGTAAAATTTAAGAAGAGCCTAACAAGATCAGCCTTTAGGAAGACTGATGTGAGGTCCCTGACAATTCAACATGGATTTGAGAGTTCACCGCTCTACCCCATGAGTGTTCAAGGAGCATCTCCTGCACATCCTGGGTACCTGACATCCCTGGCCTGGATGCTGCTAGCTACCATCCTACATGCTGACTCTGCATCTAATAAGAATTAGGAGAGAAAGCACAGGAAGCACACATTGGTTTCATGATGCTGGGGACAGAATCAGAGTCCTCATTCATGCTAGGCAAGGGCTCTACCATTGGCCCAAAACCCCAGGACCATTATGATTTGTTTTTAATTTGGGAACAAACCCTTACCATACTAAGGCAAGGACTCTACCATTGACCCAAAACCCCAGGACCATTATGACTTGTTTTTAATTTAGGAACAGACCCTCATCATGCTAGGCAAGGACTCTACCATTGACCCAAAGCCTCAGGACCATGTGATTTGCTTTTATTTTGGAGACAGACTCTCACCACACGATGTTGACTGCCCTGGATCTCACAGTGCTGCTGAGCCTGGCTCTGGGTACTACTTCCCCAGCTTCTTGCATCACCAAGCCTAACTCACACAGGCCTCTTTTTCATTTTTGTTGTTTATTATTTAGTGTGTGTGTGTGTGTGTGTGTGTGTGTGTGTGCATGCATGTATGCAAATGCACATGTGTGTACATTTTGGCACAGATGTGATGGTCAGAGACAAGTGATTGAAAGGAGCTGAGCTTGTTCTTTCCTTCTACCATGTGGGTCCTTCCATGGCACACACATACACGCACAGATGCTAAATAAATGTAAAAAGAAAATTATCATTTGGTGCTACAAATTTTGGTGGATCAACATAAAGCTTAAGTTTCAAATAATTTCTGATACATCTATTATTATTGTGTACAATCTTAAGGAAGTCCTCTAGAAAATAATACATGGCTCTTAACATTTTTCTTTTCTAACACATGTTATTATGTAATACAAAAAAAAAATCTCTCAACACTGACAGAATTTAAGTGAAGTGCTTAGAAAGCATAGTATCAAACAAGCCTCGGGTTATGTTCCAAAATTCTTGGGCATCAAAGCCTCACTACTGGACTGGAAAGGTGACTTAGTTAAGACCATGTACTGCTCTAGCAGAGGACTCTAGTTCTGTTCCCAACACCCACCACAACCACCAGTAATTTCCATTCCAAGGGGTCTAATACCCTCTTCTAACTATGTCCACACAATGTAGACACACACTTACACACATGACTTAAATTTTTTTTTTCTAAGACAGGGTTTCTTCTGTGTAGACCTGGCTGTCCTAGAACTCGCTCTGTAGAGCAGGCTGGCCCAGAACTCATAGAGATCCATCTGACTCTGCTTCTCAAGTGCTGGGGTTAAAGGCATGTGTCACCATCTTTTTAGAAAGCACCTCACTATTACACAGAGAAATGTATTTAGTTATATCAATATCCAGGTACACTCTGTGCTAAGGTAAGTTTACCTGTAATTGTACCAAAGACAGTGCCTTCCTAGTCTCAAAGCACCCACACTTTGTAACCTGCAGAGGTGACTGTGACACTGTGGCTGGGATGGTTTGGAGGGGCTCTGCAAAGGCTCTCACTCCACAGAGTCAGCTTCCTAAGGCACTAAATAGTTCACCAGCATCGGTGGCATCCCGGCACATCACCAAACAGCAAGAAAAATGGACAACATAGATCATTTAAAAATAAATGCTTTAATCGTTTCCCAGGTGACAAGCGAGTTAACAATATTATAAGACAATAGAGTTAGGACAATGGGAGGGAATTCCAGTGACCTGATGAGCAAACCAGCAAACAAAGTGAGTCTATGAATCCGAAGCTGAAATCCCTTTTAGTGTGGTTTATTCTTTGCCACAGCTACCTTCTCAGTGTCATACATTGCTCTTAATATGTATGTTTGTGTGTGTGTGCTTGTATTTGGGAGGCACATGTGCATTTGGGTGCAGATATGTGCATGAGTGCTTGCTTGCTTGTGTGTGTGTATGTGACCACAAAATTACCTTAAGCATCATTCCTCTGCCATCAACCCTCTTAAGACGGGGTCTCTCCCTGGCCTGGAACTCACTAAGCAAGCTAGGCCGGCTGCTCAGTTTGTCCCAGGGATCTGTGTGTTTCCACTTCCCCAGGGCTGGGATTGCATTTGGCTTAAAGAAAGGAAGGAAGGAAGGAAGGAAGGAAGGAAGGAAGGAAGGAAGGAAGGAAGAAAGAAAGAAAGACAAAGACATGGGTTCCAGAGACTGAACACTGAGACATCCCCACAGTCCACATTGCTCTCAGTTGAACAAAATGAAGGCCAATCCTATATGGCTGCACATGTGGACCATGAGGTACACAAAACGGTTTACTGTCACACTGTAAACAATCTCTACCCATGAAGTAAAGTTAACAAAATCATACAATGCAATTCTAAGCAGTCACAAAGAAAGTGAGATAGATTTATATAGTATGTCAGGAAACAAAATAACAAAGATCACTGAGTGACATTTGTATAATGAAGCGGGGAAGAATATACACACTCACATATGCCTGCATTGTTCCATCTGCGTAACTGATGCTGGAACTCACGGCCATAGGGACATTTGCTTTTTAGTGTAAACATACTATTTGCATGTTAGTCATATACATGTATTAATTTTTCATTGAGAAACTTCTTTTTAAAGAAAACGAGAGAAAGGGTCTAGGGAAACAAGAATGAAAGGAAGAGGTAAGAGGCCATAAGCTACCTTCAAGCACAAGGGAGTGACAAGCTAAGTTAATCAGCAGGGAAGTCCCACACACAAACGCATCTATAAAAGTCTTTAAAACTTCAAAGTTATTTCAGCTGTGCTTAGACAACTGTAATCCCCAGGGCTCTGGGGAGGAGAGGGCTCAAGGAGAATGCTCACTAACGGACTCCCCCGACAAGCCCTCACTTCCTTCTCCTTTCCAACAGAAGACAGAGGGCTGCCATGACCACCACCAGAGCCACTGGGAACTCAAGTACACAGCACACGTTCTAGTTACACAATATACCTTACTTTTGAATGGGAAGCGTCATGAGGTCTCGGTCCAAGAAGAGTCTTTGAAGGAAGTCTTGAACTTCTCCAAGGGTTTCTGGGCCACCCATGTTTAACATTAATATGCCAGTTTTTGGCTTCCTACACAAGAAAAAATAAATAAATAAAAGTTCATTGGCCACAGTTTCCTTTGCTCCAGGGCAGATGTTACTTCAGCTGATAAGAACACACAGGCCCTTTGCTGCCGTCACAGGGTTGTGTCCTTAGAGACACAGAGGGCTACCACGTCTCACTGACCTCTGACCCTGAAGTTGGCATTAAGTGAACTCAAAACTTCCCCATTATCCTGACAGTCTTGAACAAAGACCCAATTCTTCAAAGACACAGAATTCTAGAAAAATAAAATGGTTCAGAGGCCAAAGGACCTGCAAGTCCTGTATGAGCACACAAGGTCAGGCTTTCCAAAGATGAAGGTTTCTTTGTATGCTAAAACTAAAGTCCAACGTCCTACCTTAAAATGTTGTTTGGAGAACTCAGCGCAAACTCAACATAATCCACCCCCAGTGAATTCTGCCACACGGAGAGAGTTCCCCTTTTATTTTAACACTCCAGTGAGTCTGTCCCTCACTCTTTCATCTGTACCTGTCTCTTTTGTCATATAGGAAATTATTTCAAAGCTAAATTGTTCCTTAGTACTTTGCTACCAGTCTGTCTTCAGTGTCCCCTCCCATGTGTCCCCACACACCTCTGTCCCTCGTATGGGTACACTGCTTGGATAATATCTGCAGGAAATGGCACTGATGCGAAAGTCAGACCAGGCTACAGAATAAAGCACAACAAGTGAGAAGGAGGAAAACTAAGGTAATGACTCCTTAACAAGCATTTTAGCTCAAGCAGCTCCCCGGAAATGCAAAAAATGAAAGTGAGATGTGAAAATGAGCACTTCTGTGTCCTACACGGCCTGAAAGCCCAAAGCAAGGGGTCGCTACTCCTAGCCCCTGCCAGAAACCAGGAGAAGCTCACCACACATCCCATTCCTCCAAAACACCATGATCAAAAACTGGGAGCCAGGTCAGTTTGAGCCTTGCATGATCCCTGGAGGAGGACCATGTGACAGCAGTAGTAAACAGGAACGTTTGCTCTCTTCATTCTCTTCAATGGCAATATCGCTCAAATGCCACACTGTAGACATTTTAAACTGAGCACTACATTCACAATGTTGTGAGCTTCTTAACTCTAAGACATTTACATCAGCCCACAAAGAGTCTTCCTGTTGCTCTGACCCCTCTATATCTTCTCCCTCATTCCTGGTAACCACCACTAAATCCACTTACCTGTCTGGGTCATGGATTCACCTATCCCGGATATGTCACAGAACAGACTCACATAGCTATATCTGGTTTCTTTTACTTAATGCAAAATGTCCAAGGTTTCTCCATGTTACAGTAAGAATCGGCACTTACTGCTTTTGACTGCTCCGTAACAGTCTACTCTACAGCTACCCCCACCATCTACTATTAAAAACATTTTTAATTTATCTTTGGCCATTCCATATATGTATTTGATGTGCTTTAATCCCTCCCACTGAATTCTCTTTTTCTTCCTAAGAAGTCCCTGCCCTACTGTCATGGGGTTTTAGTTTCAAGATTCAATTTGGCTTATTTGCATTCAGCAGCTCACCAGTGGCTACACTACTGAAGAAAATGACTCCCTCTGCCCTACAAACGACTAATTTTAACTGCCAAGTATTCCTCAGGGAGGGGTGGGGCCTCAGGAACCCCTTTACCATCTGTGCTAGAATACTGATGAGCACACTTATGAGCATGTTTCATGCAGATAGCCACTGTGGATATGAGCTCAGGGGTGGATGCCATGCCTGGATAGTTTACAACATGTCTCTCCATCCTCTAGCTTTGACAATATATCTACCTCCTCCTTCCATTCACTCTTGATAAAAAAGAAAAAAAGAAAAAGAAAAGGAAAAAAGCTGAGAAATAGCCAGCCAGAAGTTCACCTCAAATACTACCATGAATGCCTACACCCCCCTGCACCAAACCATTTCTTACTACAGTGACTAATGTTCCACTTGGAGCCCATGGTAAAGATAAAGTAGAACCATTCTTCACTTGTCTTAGGCCAGTGTTTCTCAGCATCAGCACCACTAACATTCTTGGTGGGATAATCCTTTACTATCTAGGACTCCCCTACACAATGTAGGGTGTTTGGTGATATCCCTAGCCTCCACCTACTGGGTGGCCATATTACCTATTCTGGCCAGTTTTATGTCTACTTGGGTACAAACTAGAGTTACTTGGGAAGAGGGAATCTCAATAGGGAAATTTCCTCTATCATACTGGCCTGTGGGCATGTCTGTCAGGCATTGGGCAGGTGGTCTCAGGTTACATAGGGTGAGCAAAGCTCAGGGAGAAAGCCAGGAAGCATCTCTGCTTCAATTCCTGTCTAGGATTCCCTCGATGAAGGACTGTAACCTGTAAACTCTTTCTTCCTCAAGTTGTTTTTGTCACAGCCATGGAAACAAACCAGGATAATTCCTCACCTCAGCTGTAATGACCAAAAATGTCTGGAGAGCTTAGAGAAAGAAAGTCCGACCTCTCTTCACTAAGCAATTATACTTAAGATGTTACAGAACTTTGTGTATGTGTACATGTTGGAGCAGGGTGGGGGCCACATGGAGAGGCCAGAGGCTGATGACTCCTGTCTTCCTCTGTTTTTTGTTTTGTTTTGTTTTGTTTTGAGACAAGTTCTCTTACTGACTTGGAATTTACCACTTCAGCTAGCCTGGCTGGATGGTGAGCCCTTAGGATTCTCCTGCCCTCGCCTTAGATTACAGACATACAAAGCTGTGCTCAGAATTTATTTGGATATAGGGACTTCAACTCAAGGATTGTTCAGCAGGCCCTTAACTCAGAACCATCACCCTAGTCCCTACAAAAGTTTTTCACACACACACACACACACACACACACACGCGCGCGCGCGCTACAATTACACTAACAGGGCTATGGAGTTTTCTTGCTACTTAAACGTGCCAGATGTATCACCTGGTGAAACTGCAATGTCCCCAAATCTTCCCACTGAGACCACCCATCCTTCCCCCAGTTCTTGTCTCTGTGACTCCTAATAAATTAAGTGCATTTTCCCGTGGATTGCTGCCAGTTAGCAGATTACTGGTTACGGAAGCCTAGGCTAAAAGACTTACCTAAGCCACAAAGGGTATCAGTGTGCGAGCGGGATTTAGAACTGTGTTTTCCATCTATAACACCTGAGCTCTGGGCAAGAGTGGCTTTAAAGCGGATGTTGTTCAGCCCTGCTCACGTTTTGCAAACCCGTGTTGATTTTAGACATGAAAGAGTCGCATATGATTTGAAAATGCCCCAACACACGTAAGGCTTAATTCCAAACTGTGTTGTGCATGATGAGTGCTGCATTAGTCTGCCTCTGCTATGTTTCCAGTATGGAGTGCAGGGCTTTAATCAAGGGTCTCTGTCTCTTTTCCCCTTCACAGTCCACACCTGAGACCACAGTCTCACTGGCCAAAGCTCTCTTTGTCTGAACATCTACTGCAACACGAGTTTTAAAACTTACTTGGAAAAGTTTAAATGCTATATTCTGGTATTTTCTTGTGAAATGTGCATAATAGGCACTAAAACTCATCAGTTAACACAGTCATTTTATTCTGTGGTTGATGAAAAAGAATGAAATCTCATTCTTCATTAGACCTATGAGATATCAATGACCCAGGGATCTATACTACTTCTAGGATAGAACCCAATAAACAACAGAATCTGCACCAAATTTACAGACCTAGACAAAGAGACAGAGAGAGAGAGAGAGAGAGAGAGAGAGAGAGAGAGAGAGAGAGAGACTTGGGACACAGCTCCACTCTCCTGTTGGACTTATCTATGGTTGCCTTGACATTGTAACAACAAAGGTAAAGAGCAGCAAAGAAGACGGTGTTGCCTATAAAACCCGAAATTAAACAACCAAACTCCCGATAAAAGCCTGTGGACTCCTAAGCTAGTACAGTCGCTGGTCTAGCATTGTAGCCTAGCTCAAGCCAAGCCCCAAGCAACACCATGTATTTCAAAACCGTGGCATCACAATGGTCACCCAGGATTCTCCTTATGTTAGCATCTCAAATATCTAAAACTAGACATAACCAATGCCTGGAATGTGGGCTTAGATAAATAAACTGTGATCTACTAAAACAATCCTAAACTCTTTGAGATGGTTAAGATTGACTGTCATGTTGACAGCATACAGAATCAGCCAGGAGACAAATCTTTAGGATGCCTGAGGGGATTTTGAACTGAGTTAAGTGGGGGACAGGGAGGGGGAGATCTACCTTAACTATGAAGAGCACCATGCCATGCATCCCAGTGGATGAAAAGAAGAAAGCAAACTCTGCTTCCTGAGTGCATATTAAAATGTGACCCTCAACCTCACATCCCTGCCACCATAATGGACTGTACCCTCAAACTGTAAGCAGAGATAAAACCTTTATGTTGATTTTATAAGGTATTTTGTCACAGTAACATGGAAAACAGAAAATGGCTTTAAAATATTTGTAAATATATGGTGATAGTAGAAAAATTGTAAAATAATATGCATAGTACTGTTTTCATGTCAGTAAGTACATTGAATGGATAATAAAATATTAGATGGTAATTACTATGACTTTTAAATCCTCTTTCTACCCAAATTTTCTATTATTTTATATAAATATTTTATAAAGTTATTTAATAGAACCTCAGGCTTATGCTTTTACTTACTTTTAACAATTAATATAATATTGAGACCATTTATATTGTTGACATTTGTCACTTCAAAATATAATGATTGTGGAGTTTGAAAGAAAATGGCACACAAAGGGAGAGGCACTATTAGGAAATGTGGCTTTGTTGGAGGAAGTGTATGTCACTGTGGGGGTGGGCTTTGAGGTCTCATAGATGCTCAAGGCATGCCCAATGAGTCAGATCACTTCCTGTTGCCTGCAAGCCAATATGTAGGACACTAGGCTCCTCCCCCAGCACCATGTCTGCCTGCATGCAACCATGCCACACCATGATGATAACGAACTAACCCGCTGAAAATGTAAGCCACCCCAATTAAATGTTCTTCCTTTATAAGAGTTGCCATGGTTATGATGTGTCTTCATAGCAAAAAAAAAAAAAAAAAAAAAAAAAAAAAAAAAAACTTAAGACAACAATGAAACAGGTTCCTCACAGCTCTTCTACTCACATTAATACTTTTCTCTAAATCTTAAGGAACCATAGAGCATATAAGGTACCATGCCAGCCCAAGATGCCTGTGCTTCCTACCCTACCTACCAACTACATCTTCTAGGAAGACAGAGTTGGGAGGAAGGGATTTGGGACCTGACCCTAATTCCACATCCTAAACCAACCTCAGCTTCTTTGCCTTCAATCAGTAAAATGTCACAATCATAATGAAAAATAAACACAAAATGAGAACATTTCATTTACAAGACTGTTCATGATGGTTTGAGAATGCCCCTTGTGAATGCCCCCCATGATCTGGGGCATTTGAATACTTGGTCCCCAAGTGATGGCACTGTTTGGACAGGTTTAGGAGGTGTGGCTTTGCTGGAGGAAGTGTGTCACTGAAGTTGAGCTTTGATATTCAAAGGTTCCCACCACTCCAGTTAGTGTTCTCTCCTTCCTGCTTATGGTTTAAGATGTGAGCTCTCTGATGCTGCTCCAGCTGCCATACCATTGTAACCCTCTGGAACTGTCAGACTAAATAAACCCTTCTATAATTTGTGTTTTCTCACAATAGAAAAGTAATTAAGGCCGAACTGTGGTGACACACACCTTTAATCCCAGCCCTTGGGAGGCAGAGGCAGGCAGATCTCTGTGAGTTTGAGGCCAGCCTGGTCTACAGAGTTGAGTTTCAGGACAGCCTCCAAAGCTACACAGAGAAACCTTAAAAAAAAAAAAAAAAAGAGAACGAAGAAAAACAAAAAAGTAACTAATAATACTGTACAACTCTAGAATGACATCTTGTCTGGCAGGAAAGTCATGATGTCATTTAGTCACAGCTCCTTTACTTCTTAGATCTACACAACTTCCCTGTATAAACCCTGTTCTTTTGTATCACAGAGGAGGTCATATGGGCATCTGTGGCTTCAGCTGCTGAAGAGAACACTTGGCTACACCATGGCTACTACCTCCACCCATAAATACTGAGTGAAGTGCACTCTATTTCCTTAAGAAAGTATACACCATTGCATGTCATTGGTAATTATGTTCATTATGTTAAAAGCTAAAGATAATAATGGTAGAATCTGCTAGAGAAGTTCTTGGTAGGTTAACTACTTTTTATCCTATGCAAGGCATACATTTTATAGTCATAAATATACAAACCTTCATACACAAATATTCAGTATGCACACAATTGATTTCATATATGACATATGCCAGGGCTGCATTCTTAAATAACTGAAGACTATATCTAAATATATGTCCTTTGTTAGTCCTTAAAAACCTATTATTTAACAGCTGCTAAAAGAAAACCAAGAAAATAACTTATCATTGTCAATGAATACATCACATTTCCCCAGCCCCTCTCCCTCTAGCTTGCTTCAACCCACTTGTGTCTGTCATAATAGAAAATAAAGTCTTATTTGAGCCTAAAGTTACCTCCTTTCTGGTTGAGCTTGGGGTCTTGTAGTCTTGGCATGATGCACTTTCTCTGTGGTGGCTGCTGCTGCTGCACCCGACTGCCACCTCCATGGCTGACAGGCCCTCGAGCTGCCATGCACCACTGTGACAAAATTAAAGTGCTAGCATGAAATCTAGTTGGAAAGTAATTTCTTTTCAAGAGGTCCTCAGGGCATACTTCCCAGGTTTAAATTTTAAAACGGTGCAATGGCAGGAGTGATTTACCCAGCATCTCTGCAGGCAGGTAACAGCACTGAGGACTTCTTTCTCTAGCAGGCTGGGGTGCTGGTTCCCTCCTCCAGCCACGTGCACCTTCTCACCCTGCTCTGACTGAAAATTTTGCTCCGGTCCCATCCCTAGGCCCTCTGCATACTCAGAATGTTTCCAGTGGTGGGCAGTGCTGAGAGGGCACCGTGGGGACCATGGGGAAGCGAGGGACTACTAATGTAGGGTCATTTAGAGTGGAGACTGCGCCAGTTCCCAACTAGCTGTGCTTCCAATTTCTGTCTTCAAGCCTTCTGGGTAAAGCATAAGTGATGGGAATCCCAGCATTGCGCTGTGCTCTGACAGTGAGAAGGGGGCGCATTCTCTTCTGCAGGAATACATTCACAAAGTGTAGAGCCCATCAAAGTCCAAAACTCCACACGACATACCAGGCTCCCAGGCCCCACAACTCAAGAATTCCCTCTCCCCTAAGCAAATTCCAGAGTCTGTGCAGGCTCCTTTCCTGAACCTATCCTCTGGAGGACAGATGTTGCCATCCATACAGGCTGCTCGTGACCTTCAGGATGGCCAAGGGGTGGTAGGGAAGAGCTGGTGGGAGGAAGAGAAGCAAGAAAGCTTGCGGGTCAGCATTCTCAAGGACTCTTCTCTACAGTGGTTTAGGAGAGTTCAAGACTTCATCCTTCCAGGTGGTTAGGAGAGTCTAATGGTGAAGGCTGAGGGGCAGGACTTGCTATTCTATGTGCGATACACTTGTCCTATCCATACTCTTGACCTGGGCTCCACAAGAATAGATGAGGGGCCAGGAAAAGAACTGAGCCAAGGAGTACATGTGCCATGCTGAGATGTAACATGGAGTATTGGTCCCTAAACAACTGTAAAATTAAATTGAAACCACAAGTTAGTACTGAGGAAGGCGATAAGGGACAGTGGCAGCTACTGTGCGGCCTCCTTCTCCACTCATCTAACACCAGGTTAAAAACTAGTCTGGAACCACTCATCTTCTGCCTGTATTCTCCTCCAAGTGCCCTGATGAGGACAAAGTTCAGGCTGGATCAAATAGGTCTCACTCTAAGTTCAGCTTCCACTTCGAGCAGTGTGACCTGGGTCAGACTAGTCTCATAGAAGCCTCAACTCCCCTCCATAACATGATGAGTCCTCGCTGTGCAACTCTGTGAATTTAAAAATCAGAAGAAGCACTCTGGTGCATTTGCCATGTGACAGGGGCTAGTATAATATTAGTATAACAGTTTCATTTGCAAGTTTCGAGAGAAAGCAACCACACCTGCTCTAATTTCTTTAAATCACCCAAATGGGAACAAAATAAAAAAAAAAAAAAATGGCACACACACACAGCCCAGGTCACCTAGATGTCTTTCTATCCAGATTGCACACATTCACATACTGGTGAATGTCTGGAACCATAGCACTCAGCGAGCTGAGGTAGGAGGATCTTTAGTTTGAGACCAGCTGGGGTTTAAGCCAGACCCCACCTCAAAACCAATAAATAAAAGCAGATAGTGCACATTTCCAGCAGAGCCCACTACATGAGCTTATGCTTGGGAAGCCTCACTAAATCAAAAGATTGACACAAAGAAGTTCAATTCCACTCAAATGAAGTCTCAAACAACACACACACCCTTGTTTCAGACAAGTTTAATTACGAACTACACGATAAGATTTAACCAGGTATTCAATCATGTGCAATGTTTCCAAGTCCCTGTACAGATGAGATTCCATCAGATCCCATGGTATGATAGAATTATAACTGATGGTCATAAGTAGGAGGTCTTTCTGTGAACCTAACAAAAGGAAATGTGGGGTAGGTCTAGATTCCCTAGCTAGTACATTACAGTTTCCTAGTACAATATCTCACCCACTTCCATGCCCTGGCTTACAAAGTTCTTGTCTCTAAATGACCAAATTATGGTAGTGATAAGGGACTGTGACTTAGGATTAACATACCCATCAAGAACCCCTCTAAAACCTCCTGCCCTGGCTACTGGGCTCTTAGAGATAGGGAAGGGCCCAAGGAGCAGGTGGTAAGAAAAGATAACAGTGTCATATGCTTGTATGAAAATGTCACAGAGAAACCACACAAATTGCACAAATTACATATACTAACTAGAATTAAATGGGCTCCCACACCATATTAGAAGCAGGGACTGTGGGAGTAGGGGGACTTGCTTCCCAGATTTGGCCAGTTATTCTAATTTTTGATGTTTCAGTGGATTGTAACGATGAACAGAAAAAGGACTGTCACTGCCCCCCATCCAGCACTGTCCTGTTAGTACATGTTAGGAGAACTTACAAAACCAATGTAACTTCTGAACCATGAAAAATATTGGGGCGAGAATTCAGGGGTTCAGAGCACTGGCTGCTCTTGCAAGGGACCTGAGTTCAATTCCTAGCATCCACATTTGATAGCTTATAACACCTGTACCCCAGAAACCAGATCTCATCTCAGGTACCTGCACTCACATTCACACATCCCCACATGAACTCACATATGTACACGATTTAAAACAAATCTTTTTTTAAAATAGAAATTTTACTTTGAGCATATCATGAAAAAAAATTCCATGCATCATGCTGATAAAAGAAGCAGAAGACATTATGGATGTGTATATGTATCTTCAGCATAAATACAACAAAGCTGGGGAGTGGGAGAGATGGCTCTGTGGTTGACACACTTGCTACTCTTACAGAGGACCCAGGTTTGGGTCCCAGCACTCACTGGGTAGCTCACAAGTACCTACACTTCAGCTCCAAGGGAATCAAACCCTCTGGTCTCTTCAGGAATCTGTGGTGTGTGTGATTTGTGTAGTATATGAGATGATGGAGGAAGCATCTTACTACTCCTAAATGATAAAATGCATAGAACATAAAACTGCCTTTTCCAGTTTCATTTCCAGAATTCAGTTGCAGAAAATACTCAGTTTTAGCTAATATTAATCTTTTCCTGTCCACCAAAATGGTAAAAGTATCACCTTAAAGATTGGTGAGCAGTTAATCCCAAAACTCGCAACGTGTAAAGAATGAAGTGTTCAGCCACAAATGGTCATATCACAGCCCTTGTCCACAAAAGGCCGAAGGAACATAGCGGAAGAGAGGGCAGACAACTGTAGGGGCCGAGCCCTGTGGAGGACTAGGGCAATACACGGTGTTCTGAACATGACAAGACTGCCATACTCATGAACTCATTGCAGTTGTGGTTGCTGCACAAGACCAAGCCAGTCAACCTGTGTGATGAGGGGCTTCTGAGCCCCCAACCTTAGCTAAGGAGCTATTGTCAATTAATGGCTTCTGGAGAGGGAAGAGTTAGGCTCTTTTTAAAAGGCAAGGATGACCATGCGCCCGTGGGTCTTGACCCCTTGGGGAATCAAATGACCCTTTCACAGAGGTCACCTAAGACCATTGGGAAGCTCAGATATTTACATTGCAATTCATAATGGTAGCAAAATTACAGTTATGAAGTAGCAACAAAAATAATTTTATGGCTGGGAGGGCACCACACATAAGGAACTGTTTAGGAAGGTTGAGAACCACCACTCTAGTGGGTAAGTGAGTCCATTCCCATGGGTAGTATAAGTTGAATTTACAGGTTAAAAAAGAGAGGAGAGGTAACAGGGAGTTAGGAGGAGTGGGGAGTGAGCATGGATCTGGAAGGAGTTAGGGAAAAGATATCGGGGTGAATATGATCAAAATACATCATATGCACATATGAAATTCTCAAGGCATAAAAAAATATTATTTTTCAAAGCATTTGAGCCTGTAACAAAGTTGGAATTGAGATATACTGTGGCTTCTGAATCCTTTCACTTAGCTACTTCTGACTTCCACAGAAAACAACTTTATTTCTTATATTGTTTCATGACCTTCAATCTTGAGTCTGTTAGACTTTATTTGTCACTGGAAAGGATGGTGAAAGAAAAGATTAATTCGGTACTTCCTTTACTGACACTGTCCTTATCTTAAAGATAATACCTTTTGTTTCCCAGTGTCCTTAGGGAAGCTGATCTTCAATGTACCATATTTGTCTTGTAACAAAGGCACTTGCTATAACGTGTGGACCTTCGGAGTTTATTTTCTCCACCCGAAGTAGGTGCCAAACTGACAGATTAAGAAACTCCTTTGAAATAGGTCAGGTCTAGTCACCATTCAAATTTATTGAGTGTCTCACTTGTAGTTAGTACTGAGTTACATCAGTAACTGAGGGGTTTCTACTCCACTTGGGTCCTAATCCTCACAGCAAACAAGCGAGTATGGGGAGGTTGGGCCCCTGGCTCAGTTCGGTCCAACGGAGTGTGTCTCTCCCAGGGTCCCAGCAGCTCATCTAGTGGGCGCACCGTACACTAACGGGGTGCACCAGATTTCATTTGTTCTCTAAATATCCCACGAAAACCCTAGTCCAGGCCTCCCGGGTGGGTCCTTCTTCCCAGAAGCCATGGCACTGGCCTGGGCGGAGCAGCAAGGGCACCGTACTGTCACCAGCAGAGAGCGAACTACAAGGCAGATGCCAAGAGTGATGATGACGCCGCCACCCGAGTCTCTAGGTGTCTTTCAGAGACCTTCCCTCCCATAACCACTAAATGCAGCTACTGCTCGAGCCCCCCTCAGCTGGCCCTTGTGACTCGAACCCGCGGCCTCCCGGCCGCTCCTCGGCGTTCGCGATCGCAGACGCAACCCCACTTACGCGGCTCGCGGAGCAGCGCGCCCGCAGCCCGCAGGGCCGCAGCCATGTTGGCGCCTGCCGAAAGCATTTCCGGGATGGCCAGGGATCCTCTGCGGCGGCGCTACAGCAGGGCCGGCGAGCGCCTACCTCCAGCGCCAGCACTCCGCACCCGCGCCCCGCGCAGTCGCCCGCCAGCGGGGGCGTGGGCGGGGCCAGCAGGAGGACCGCCCAGGGGTGTGTCAGGAGGGCGGGGCTTGAGGCCGGAGTGGCCAGATGCTGCTGGCCGGCTGGAATCTGTGACAGGCCTAGATAAGGCCTGTGGCTTGGAGATCAGCTCCTGCCACCACGGGTCAGTGCACCCAGACTCCCGCTACGTCTGTGGCACCGGCTGAAAAGGCCAACCTGGTTGAAACTGGAACGATAGCCACGACTCAGCAAAAGACTTGACGTTTCCTTACTGTCCTCGGACGTGCCCAGGCTTTTTTTTTTTTTTTTTTGCCTCTTTTTCCCAGTTTGGTTGCTTCCATGATCTACCACAGTGCAGACCCTTTCACCTTGTTCCCAGAGCAGAAAGAGGGTGTGTGCGTGTGTGCTTTCTTCCAAGCACCTCTCTGTAGCAGAGTTTGGGACAAAGAAATCAGAGTAATTTTGCTGGTGTGAGGGCCTTAGGAATGGTGGAGGTCAGGAAAGCACACACAGATGGATTAAGAAGGGAATGTGAGTAAATAAGCAAACAGCATTTTTGAAAGACTCAGGGCACCCTAGGAAGAGGGAAGAATGGTAGAGTAAGACTGACGGAAGAAGTTCTCATGGAGACTTGGGAAAGAACGGAAGGAAGGAAAGGAGAGAGTAAACGAAGGTAGGACCCCAGATAAACCTGGCCATTAGTTTTCTGTGACTAAAATCTGAGCTCTTGGCTTTATTTGTTTATTGTGTTCATAAGACAGATGTAAAATGTAAATTACAATTCATATAACTGACAGGATCTTCAGACTCAAGAGTGATGTTTGTTCCCTGAGAAAACAATAGTAAAATTTGTTCTAAATTACCTCTATGTGCATTTCCTCCTCAGCACTGAGGACTGAGCCCAGAGCCTCACAGGTGCTAGGCATGGGGCCTGTCTCTTTTCATATCTCACTTTGAGGTAGGGGTTTTTAAGTTGCGAGGGCTGGCCTTGAACTTGCTAGCCTCCTGCCTCAGCCTCCCCAGTAGCTGAGACTGCAATAGTGAGCTACCAGGCCAAGTCCTTTGTCAATTCTTGACTTCAAAATCAAAATGGTATTAGAGATTGTCCAATAGAGAGACTGGGTGTGGGTGTGGGCTGGCTTCTCAAGGGGGCTGCTTCCTTTCTCGTGGGAAGGTGGAGGTGAGGGAAATGTGTACGCAGGGACAAACACATGGAGAAAATGATAACAGATGAGAGAACCCAGGGGCCCTGTAAAGTGCCGAGTCAACCCAAGAATACCCATCTAAAGCTGGAACTTCTCTATGTTCATTTAGAAAATAACTACAGAGGCTCCACAACACACTTAGAAATGCTGTGCTAGACCACATAGCGATGAGGTCACTGGTCTACGATGTCTCTTCGTCACCTCTGGGAGGCCCTGAAAGAGTCATTCTGTCACCCTGAGCAGTCCTGCTAGGTGGAGATAACAGGGGTTCCTTGACCTCTCCCAGAGTCATGCTAATGATTAGTGATGAGGCAAATTGCAGCAGGTTCTCACAAAACCTGCAGCTGAGACAGGCTAAGTTTATGTGTGACCGAAAAGCAGGAAAGAATTGACAAAAATGCTGTATCCCAGACAATAAGTATCATTTCAAAAATTAACGAGCAATATTTCTTTCCTTTTGTTCATGGACTTTGAAAAACTCACTCAAAAGTCTATGTGTAAAAGCTTCTTGATGTACATACTGCAGATTCATGGGTTTAAAAAGGAAGGTGAAACTTGGGCTGCTGGGAAGCTAGCTCAGAAGGTAAAGTGCTTGTACAAGCCAACCAACTCCAATTCCTGTAATTCATGGTGGAGGGGAAGCACCCACTCATGAAAACTGTCCTCTGCCCTCCCATGTGCTAATGAGAGAGCATACACACACACTAAAAATAGGAAACAAGCAAAACTTTGTGACTTTGAGTTATTTTTCTAATTTGTGTCTAGGCAAGTCTTGAACCTGTCACCTTCCTGCCTCAGAATCCCTGGTAGCTGGAATTACAGGCCTGAGTCACCTGGCTAAGTCCTTTTGCTAATTCTTGACTCTGATAACAAAAAATGATACTATTTAAGGTTGCCCTTACATCAACTATAACAGCTTCCCAGTGAGTATTTATTATTATTATTATTGTTATGAAATAAAAGCAGGTAGACTATACTTCATATGAATTCTATTTAAAGCATTTGATCCCCGGCATTCAGGAGGCAGAGGCAGGAGGATCTCTTAGCCTGATCTATACAGTGAGTTCCAGGACAGCCAGGACTGATAGAAAAAACAAACGGGTGTCTTTTACTTTTTTTATTTTCTTGAGGCTGTCTCCTACAGTCCAAGCTGGCTTTGAACTTGCTCTGTAACTGAGATAATCTGAACTCATCGATCCTCCAACTTCTATCACCTAAGTACTGGCATACATTACCAAACCTGGCTTCAAAACTTCCTGCAAGCAGAGTGTACATGCTCTACTCCCAACACTCAGAGGTAGGCAGATCTCTGTGAGTTCGAGGCCAGCCTGGTCTACATAGGGATTCCAGGACATCTTGTCTCAAGGAACTGAAAACAAACAAAAAAACTAAGTTGTTAGTCCAGAGGTTGTTAACTCTGGATTTGGGGTTACAGAAAATGTAAAAAGCCCTCAGAAGGTTAAAGAAATATGAGGTTTACATATATTTGCATATATATGCTCCCTTCCACACTACGGGATTTGTACATATACATACATAGACATACATATATACATACACACACACATATATATACATATATGTGTATCTACACACACACACATATGCTTCCTCTCTCACCCAGCTTATATTTTAAGCAAAATTCTATACCAATTCCATTAGCAAACAGAAGGCTGAAAGACATGGGCTTTGTTGACTGAGATGAGCAGCACTCGCCACGAGGGAGAAGATTTGTCTGAGCCCCTGCGACTTAATTAGTGAATAAAGCACTCGCCTGTCACAGACAACACTCTGGAGTTCAGCCTGTAGTTCTAACTAAAATGAATTTGTTGGTTTCAGCTCAGTGCTTCAGGGAAGGGGAGACTCCCCTAATTCATTATTTGCAGTGATTGGCGCCTCTGAGCTACACAAACTAAATTTAGATTACTCGACTTGGTCTCCGTAATCAGAAAAGGACTGGGGGAAGGGATTCTGTGCAAGAGAGACAGTGACTGCACGTGACAAATGGCCAACTTAAAATCATCACTCAGGGAAATGTGGGTCATTGTCCTCACAATTAAGACCTAAGCGACCAAATCCGGACGTAAACACAGCATGCTTTGACTGCACCTTCTTGAACTAACATGGGGTCTGGAGCCCACTACTGCTCACACTCACCGAGTATGGCCCGTGAGAAAAGTGCTGCCCCAGGTAATGAGGATAAAAGTGTGAAAACTTCAAAAGGAACTTGTTCTTGCAAACAGCTCACTTATGAGACTGGACAAGTATGAAGGCAGGGCCACTGTCAGACCCAGTGTATGGCACTGGACGTTAATCAGTACCCACATGGAACATTCTAGAAGGTCACATAGGAACTGTCTACAAAAGAGATGAGGATAAACAGCAAAAAGACAGGTATGGCTAGGGGCCAGGGAGGAAAGCGGAGAAGGCAGAGGAATGCAGAGAGGCTAGAATTGCTACTTTCTTTAGCACAGTTGGACATGAATTCTGTGAATGTGAAACCCAAGAAAGAAGAACTCTGCCAAGTGAAACCTGACCATGGGTTCCAGAGCTTGCATGAGGACTCTTTTGAAACCTGTATTAGTTTCCTTTGTCACCATGACAAAGCCTCAAAATTTTGCTATTTTTTTCCCAACTCTGAGTTTTAGAAACCTTTCATTAACATGTGTCAACAGGGCCACATGCCCCCTGATCCGTCTTGGTCTCTCCCTATCTGGGAAGGCTTTGAATACCTGTTGTACTGGAATCAACTATCCTATAGTCCAATCTTAAGCGCACATGTAAAGACCCTATTTCCAAATAAACACATACATATAGGATGTAGGAGTTAGAACATCAACTTCTTTTAGGGACCTGTGAGGAAGTCACATGGCCTGAGCAGAGCGTGGCAGAGTTGAGGCAAAACCAAGGCTCTTGGATGTAACTTTGCAGGTGATGAAGGATCTTGGGCATGCCCTTTTGTATTGTCTCCCTGCAGCACTGTGATGCACACTTGAGTCCATAAAGGAAAAAACAATGGGAGCACCTGGACCAATATTTAGACACACTACAAGGCAGGCAGTGGTGGTACATGCCTTTAGTCCCAGTCCTGTGGAGGCAGAGCAAGTGGATCTCTGTGAGTTTGAGGCCAGCCTGGTCTACGGAGCTAGCTCCAGGATAGCCAGGGCTACACAGAGAAACCCTGATGGGAGAGGTCATTCTGTATGTTTCTCATACTGGTTAATAATAAAGCACTGTTGGCCAATAGAAAGGAAGATAGGAGGGACTAGGAGACAAGGAGGAAATAGGAAGTAGTAGGGAGGAGCCAAGATGGAGAGTCTGGAGAAAGCTGTATGCCGCAGGCTCCCCGGTAAGAGAAATACATAGATCAGCAGAAATGGGTTAATAATTAAGGCAGAGCTAGCCGATAAGAAACAAGTAACAGGGCCAACAGTATTGTACCAAATACAGAGTCTCTGTGTATTATTTGGGACTGGCGGCGCAGCGGCAGGACAATACCAGGCGGCGGACGGAAAAACCGTATGCCTTACAAATGGCGCCCACGTGGCTAGTAAGAACTTCCACTTAAAATTTAACAAAAGGTTAAAAATGGGTTTTAGAAACAAAACAACAGAGATAAGCAAGGTTTCTTGGTAGCAGCATTTTTCTCAGTTGAACTCTGCTTTGCTAGAGACAAGCAGATATTCGCGCGGCTCCTTTAAGGGAAGATTCCTGACTCAGCTTAAGCGGCAAAAAACCGCACAGCTTTCAAATAACTCTGCTAACAATT